TCATTTGACAGCATCAGCTAGGAACTGACAAATCTCAAGGTACAATATGCAATACCAGCTAACACTTAATAGATAACTGCATTGTAAAATATCAGGGTACTATATGCAGTACCAACTAACATTTAATAGATAACTGCACTGTAAAATATCAGGGTACTATATGCAGTACCAACTAACATTTAATAGATAACTGCACTGTAAAATATCAAGGTACGCTATGCAGTACCAACTAACACTTAATAGATAATTGCACTGTAAAATCTCAAGCTACTCTATAAAGTACTGCACTGATTACAACACAGTACCAACTAACGCTAACATTGCTGCAGTGCCAGATAGCCACAGGCAGAAATGGTGTAGTGCTACTATTGACCAAGTCAAAACTGTACTGGTTTCTATCGTCACTAAAATACTAAGTAAATTTGGAAGAAAAAAAAACAATCAAAAAAGTCAATTTTAAAAAAAAACCTGAAACTGAACTTTTAATCGTCAATAACAAACATTTCAAGGAAAGGTGGTAAACAATCCTTATAATAAAAACTTGAGTTGAAGGCGAAACAAAAGATGGCAGCAACGGTTGAACTTTTCATTAGCTTACGTTACAGTTCGTAAGGAGCGGTAAAAATTGGTCCAAAATTTCATGGTACAATAAGTCTGCATAAGACATAATCAGTTCCACTAGAACGTCTTGTTTGTACATCAGATACGTAAATTGATCATACGACTTTGAGAAAGAAATATTTAATTTCAATTTTAAAAACACATGTCGAGAAATACTTTAGTATCAAGGATGATTGTGATGTTTCTATGATTGTCAATAACTGGTATATTTTAACCATATACAGTTGACCGCCTCAATCAAAAGAATGATTTTGTTTTCTATGATTGTCAATAACTGGTATATTTTAATCATATACAGTTGACCGCCTCAATCAAAAGGATGATTGTGTTTTCCATGATGGTCAGTAGCTATTAAATTATAAATGAAATTAAAGTTGATTGTACTAAGCTATGTGCAAATAAATGACAGCTCTGTCAATTATATGTGCAATTCACAAAATCATTTATACTCACCAAATCACCAGCTTCATCTTCTGACATAGAGGATGAGGACTTCACAGCGACTAGATCCACTGATGTTCCTTCCACTGTTTAAAAAGGAAATGTATAGATTTACTTTAAGTAAGAAAAATGATCACATGTTAAGTATGTGCTTAATGTTATATGTTACAGAGCAAGGTACATAAATAAGTCATTGAAAGCTCATCACTGTAAGAACATGAACAAACACACTTCAAAAAAAAAATGTCTTGATATTTTATTTTTATTATTTTTTTTAACATAGATCAGCAATCCAAATCAATTTTAACAGAACTATGAGTTTTGACCATGGTACAGCTGGTTAAGTATACCAAATCATACGCTAGGGTGGATGGATAATTCAGTGCCCATGTTAACATGTCTAATAATGTTCTTTATATCACAAGCTAGGGTGGATAGATACATCTATTGCCCATGTTAACATGTCTAATAATGTTCTTTATACAACAGTAAGATAGTTTAAATAATATTTTGTATGAGTTTATTACATGGATCTAATGCACTACATGCTGGCGTAGAGAGAATGATGCAGTTAGGATATGGAACAGTGAAATATCTGGTAGGTGTGGAGGGAAGAGTGACGCGGGTGGAGTCAGACATGACCTGAAATGTAAGGAGTCTTAAATGGGAGGGGTCTTAAATCAAAAGAATAAGAAAGAGGTTGGGGGGGGGGGGGGAAGGGGGGGGGGGGGGGGGGGTAGAGGGGGTAGAGCGGATTTGTCTGAAATGAAAGCAGTCTGCCCACAATGGTAGGAGTGTGATAGGGTAGTGTCTGATAGTAGGAGTCTAATAGGGTAGTGTCTTATAGAGGAGGCTAATTAAATTTACAATTCTTGAATGAATGGCATCACATATGGAAGTTATAATATTACGTGAAGCTGAAAAAAATGTTTGAACAAGACGATCATGTATATGTTAGTATATAAAGTCATCAACTGTAGATTAAATGACAGGGTTAGAATAAATTAGACACACTATCGTCATGGAGCCCATTGAAAGTGTCTTTATCTTATGGGTAGCCTTGTTTCTAGCCTATAAACTAGACATACTATCATCATGGAGCCCAATGATAGTGTCTTTATCCTATGGGTAGCCTTGCTTCTAGCCTATTAATTGATAACATTCTGGCAGAGAGGCACCTGCCCACCAAATGACGTAGCTGATCATCTAATCAATGCTCTGTAACCTTTTCACCCTCATGGCAGACCTCTACCCTTCCCAGATATCCTCGGCACACCACAATTATAACATGAAAAAACCCTTCACAAAATCTGATTCATTGTTTACATGTAAGAGCATGTTTGTTTTCTTCTCTTTCTTTTTTAACATTTCTTTTGACCCTTAAATTAAAATGAGCCAGTAGACTTTTTGTACCTAAAAATATCACATAAGACAGTCTTCACTTGTTAAATGCATAAATCAATCAAACAGAGATCTAATTGAAATATTAATATGAATTGCCATTTCACTTTCTCCAAATATTGTTTTTTTGGGGGTTTTTTTTTGCAATGCTTGTATTAATTGCATCCATGTTTTAAGTGGTATTATAATGAACTTTTGATGGAAAATATGTTTAATGATTTAAGACAAAGAGTTACCATATTTATTTCAATGCTTAAAACTATATTAAATGATTTAAGATGAGTTACCATATTTATTTCAATGCTAAAAACTATGTTTAATGATTGAAGACAAAGTGTTACCATATTTATTTCAATGCTAAAAACTATGTTTAATGATTTAAGACAAAGTGTTACCATATTTATTTCAATGCTAAAAACTATGTTTAATGATTGAAGACAAAGTGTTACCATATTTATTTCAATGCTAAAAACTATGTTTAATGATTTAAGACAAAGTGTTACCATATTTATTTTAATACTAAAAGTTATGTTTAGTGATTTAAGACAAAGAGTGACCACATTTATTATTTCAATGCTAAAAAAAAAAACAAGGAAAAAAATAATAATAAAACAAAAGCCTTATGAAAACCATGACATAAGTATGTTGCTTGATAAACACCAGTTTGACTTGGTCAACAAATTAGATCAAGATTTTCGGTGACCTAAATTTGAGTTTGTGTGGGTTCACTTTCATTTCTTGTAAAAATTAGACAAAATGTTAGTATTATCTAATAGCAGGAATCGTCAGCCATTTGCCGGGGGGGGGGGGGGGGGGGGGGGGGGGGGGTTTAAAAAAAA